CAACCCCACCCCCTACCCCCAAATATAATCCACTCTGCAACCCTCATTGCGTACTCCTACGATAAAAATAATGCCCTAAAATATAATACTTTTAGACTGCTAACAGCCAACTCTTAATCCACGGCACCATGAAGGCTTCTTTACTTAACGGAAAGGGTCCATGTTAAATAGAGAAATCACTAAATGAAACCAAGTAATCATATTAAAGTCACCCAGATCTCCATGTCTGTCTTCATTTGGAGTAATCTCAATCAAACCCCGCACCGTTCTCTGTGAGCCCTACGCTGTTGGGTAGCTCTGGCCACCATGTCTCTCAGCGGCTGTCATTGAAAGTCTGAGGGTGCAAAGAGGCACAGGTCCTAAAGAGTAAAACTTCATTGTTGCATGAACCCTCTGAACCTATGATTTGATTTCTTTTTTTTTCTGTTTATGGCAGAGCCTCCATCTTTGCAAGGCACGTAATCCTATCCAAGCTGTGCAAAGCCTGCCCCAAGTGTGTGTGTGAGCTCAGATACAAACTGGAAGGTGGGGAAAAGCCGCAACCCAGACATGTAGTGATTTGAGTCCTGCATGAAAATACGTCCAAGGGCAAGATGACTGGGGAGCTCTAGAAAGCGCTGGGCTTCCCTGCTGACCTGCTTGCTATATTGTGTGCACACGCATATACACACATGGGCTGATGTTGCGCAAACATTGAGTGCTCACAAAGTGTCAGACGCCACACCTGGAACTCAATCTAATCAAATAAAGCCCAGTCATTGCATGATCACCGAGTCAGACTCTTTGTGATAGATCCAAGATAACCTGCGCACGAGCCCTGGCTACTTGTGGTTTCTTCTCTCAGCAGCTGGCTTGAATTTAATAAGTAGCATATTCGTGGGGAAAGTGGCAAATGTTTAGGTTCCGTTCACACCTTAAACCAGAAATTAACTGCACCATGTGGGCCAGAACATGTATTTTAAAAGCTTTTCTTTCCGTTCAGTGGGAATAGTAATCTTTATTAGTTAACACATGAAAATATTTGGTTAATGGCAGATTTTTTTGTGTGAATAAAATAGGAATATTTTCAGTTTCTTGAGAAAACTCTTTGCTGAAATGTAAAGTATTATATCTATTGTGATAGTCAGGAAATATTTATAAATGCCTCTTCCTCCTTACTTTGCTTATTTCTGAAAGCAGTTTGTCTGTTTTCTTAATATCTCTAAAAAGATCACCTGAAAACCAGAATTGGGAATTTAGATTTATACAATACACTTCTTTAGAAGCTTTGGACGAGGGATTAAAAAGAATAATGGAAGAAAGGTTTTATTGAAATGGCCTGTCCAGCTTGTGTGTCATTCTCTTAAGTAACATGAGTCAAAGTGGGTTAAAATAAACAAAAAACCACTCTCGTGGCAACCCTCCACCGGGTTTCCAGTGCTGTTAATTTTTCCTAATTTATTTATTAGTTTTAATGAAAGTTTACAGAGACTTAGGATTTCCAGTCATTCATTGTTGCACTTTTCTCCCTGCCAAACCCCTCCCCCCAAATCACTCTTCTCCTTGAAAAGAAAAAGAAAAACTCTTTTATTATTATGCAGTTCCTCTCCCCAAGCTCACTCCATTATGCAGCCTTCACTCTGGACTTCTGTAATGACAAGAATACCCAGTCATATATCCCTTTTAAGCAGATCTCTCCCTCATCTGTTTCAATGCAAAATACATCATCAGTGCTGTTAATTTTTATGGATAGACAGTCTTTCTGTTTTAGCTCTATTAGATTGGAACTACTGACATTTCAGCTTGACAATTATGCACTACACCACTGTTGTTGCTGTTGTGTGCTGTCAAGTCAGAACTGACTAATAATTGACCCTCTAGTGAGTTTTCAGAGGTAGTAAATTGCAGAGGAGGAGATATTTTTCCATCCTTCTGGTGGATTTAGAACTGTGGCCTTTGTCACATACTGAGATTTGTACACCAATGTTCAAAATGTAACAGCATGTTTCACCATTGCAAGAACATGGGAACAGCACAAATGTCCAACCACAAACAGATAGATTGAGAAATTGTGGTACATTTACACAGTGGAATACTATGTAGCATGCAGGAGCAATGATTTTGTAAATTATTACTTAACTTGCAAAGGACTGGAGAGCATTATGCTGAGTGAACTAATTCAGTCCCACAAGGATAAATAGTGTATAAAACCATTATTGTGGATTGAGTGTAAGTATCCAAGAGGGGTGGGAGAGGTTGGAAGCAGAAGGATGAGGATGTGCAGGAGGGGTGGGGGATTAATCATGGGGGGTGTTCTATTTGGTGGGGGGGTGGGGAATTGAAAGAATTTGTTCTTGAAAACAGTGTATTAGAATTTTGTAAATAAACTAGTAGAAAATAAAAGAACGGTGGCCTTTGGGTTGACAACATAGCTCCTTATCATGAGACCACCAGAGCACTAATACATTACTTCTTGTTATGTGCTGTTGAGTCAGAACTGACACATTGCTGACCCTCTAGCAGGTTTTCAGAGCCAGTAAATTTTATGGGAGGAGAGTGCTCATACTTCTCCCACAGAGGAGCTGCTGGATGTGAACCTTGTGCCTTTGAGACTGCAGTACACTGGACTCGTTCATTCTTTCTCACTGCTATAGAGTAGGTTTCAACTCCTAGCAACCCTCTGTTCATTTCCAAGGCTATAAATCAAATGGAAGGAGACTGCCCATCTTTCTCTGAAGAAGTCACTGGTAGATGTGAACCACTGGTGATTCATAGACTTTGGGTTAATAGCACAACTCACTATGGACTACACCTTCAGATTACCCTTAAACTTGTCCCAAGGTTGAGCTCAAACTCATTGTCTCCAAGTCAGAACTCACTCATAGCTGAACCTCCAGCAGTTTTCCAAAGTTATATATAAATTAAAATGGAAATAAACTGCTTATCTTTCTCTCAAGGTGCCACTGGAGGTTTTCAAACCACCAGAATTTCACGGTCTTTGAGTTAGCACAATTCTCTATGAACTACACC